AAGCAATGGACATAAGACACTGGGGGGGGGGTAGGGGAGGCCAGGGAATTGTCAAGGGCAGGAAAAAAGGAGACATATGTAATAGTCTTTGTAATACTTTAAGCAATAAAACAATTAAAAAAATAAAAGAAATTGCTTTGGCATATGTCTGAGATTTTGTTACCTTTGGTGTAGGCACGATGGTCCTGGGTGAGTGCCTCAGAGGTTTCTGGCCAAGGCCTTCCTACCAACAGGCTGGGAGGGACACATACTCCCTGTACTGCCTTAGTTGTCCAGCACTGGAGGGCTGACAGTATCCATCCAGGCTCAGAGCATCTCACTTCCTCACGTTGGGGTCCGGGTAGACGTGCTTTTGTGGCCACCACTGAAGAGTGCTTCTCAGACACAGACACAGGATTGGTGGCTGGCTTCGGGTCAATGACCACATTCTTCCTGGAGGTGCCACTACTGACACTCCCACGGGCACCCTGGTGTGGCACCCTGCAAGGTCCCAGCCTCCATGGAAAGGGCAGTTTCTTTTCAGTCGCAAATTCCTTTGTAGCTGCACTTCTCAGGGACACAGGCACATCTCAGAAGAGCCAAATTCTGTTGCAGAAGGTGTTTCTACTGGCTTTCCAGGGCATGGCATGTACCAAATCTCACAGACCTGGCATTTTTCATTCTTGCTGCCAGCGTTCATCCAGCCAAGACACCCCTCCTGGAGATCAGAGCCTGCTGAAAGGCCGGGTGCTACTCCCTCCACTGGGGTCCCCATGGGTGCTGGCACCCTGCAGCCTCCACACCTCATGTCTCCTGCTGCACAATCGTGAAGTGATAGACTCTCTCAGCCCGTCCACAGCATCCAAGAGGGAGGGTGAATGTATTTAGACTTTGACAGCTAAGGTACCCACATGCCACCCTATGTGGAAACTGAAGAGGAGGTGAAGGAGTCTGTCAGCATCGCAGTATGAGGGGCAGGTGAGCACTGTGGGAGGACTCAGAAATCTTGCAGTGGGAAAGCAATGTGGGCAGCTGAGAACTCAATGTATAGCCTCAGAAATACACCCGTGACCACATTATGCTCAAAAAGTGACTGTAGCCTTTAATAAAAGGGCAATTGCCACCCCGTGCTGGATAACAATGATCAATTCTTATCTCGACCTGTGAGTGAATTTCCCATCCTCTCCTAAAGACACTGCACAATTGGATAAAAACGTGTAAAAATACTCGTTCACACAATAGGGAAAATGAGACATTTTGGGGTGGCTAGCAATCTGAATTAGTCCCAGTAACCTGCTTTCTACTGCACTCTCTTGCTATCTGTAATTAACTTCATTTGTGAAAGAAGGTGGGAGACGGGTTTGGTCTGTCCTTAGTTCCTCTCATGCCAGGTGTCTCCTGGTTATCTGAGCTATGCTGTGCTCAAGGCTGCAAGCTTTCTACAAGATGTCTGCTAGGCACAATAAATACTTCTTTTCCCTGTTTGTTTTTTTTTCTAACCCCTTCAATATATGTAGAGAAAATCTCATTGTCCAGGCGGTTCAGGATCTGGATCTTAGAGTCCCCTGAACCAGCAGCACTGCTTTAATTAAAGGCTCTTTCCCAAACCTCACAGTGTCCGACTGTCACTTCTGTGCCGATTTCATAAATCCCACATTCCATAACATCTCCCGTCGGACACCCGAAGAGGCCTGCCGTGTCTTCAGGGAAGAGCTGGTCAGCACGTGCAGAGGAAGCATCACTCAAAGGCCAGGAGAGAATCACAGGGAAGGACTCCAGGGAACAACCCCATGGCTCCCCCTGGGCCAGAAGTCCTTCCCATCATCATCACCAGCTGGAGGAGGAAAAGGAAAAGCTCATCCAGGAAGCCTCAGGTAGAGACTGGGAGACGCTTCCCTCACTAGGCCCCAAAGAGCTTCTAAGCAGCAATCAGCAAGAGCTCAGGGTTGGAAACTAATTAGCTTCAAACCAGAAGAAGACACATATAGTTACAATTTAAAGCCTTTCAACACCTATGAGGGTAAAATTAACAAAGCCCAGCTGGCCTGCCAGAGGCACAGGGAGAAGTGGCCCCATAACAAGGAAAACAGTGACCCCTGGGAAGTGACTCAGGCTCACAGAGCCAACGGGGTTGTAGGGACTTTAACTGCTGAAACTACACAGCATGTGTGCAGGTCGCTAGAGGGAAGCCTGAGGTGTGCAGGGGAGACATGGCCCTGCTTTCTTCTCTCTTATTTCCACCTTAGCATTCAGACCTGCCTCTCACCTCCTCCACCTCCACCCCAGCTGGATGCATGCACAGCCCCACCCACTGCCACGCCCTGTCATTGTTACCTCAGCTGACCCAGCCAGGGTGGGTTTTCTGTCACTATCCTCTTGGCAGAAAGTGGCCACCACAGATGGTGGGGACCCAACTTCAATGAGGACCCTCCCTCTCCATTCACATCGACGGTTCTCCCCCACCAAGGGCATGAGGCTGGCAGGGTGCCCTGTCATCCTGAGGACGCCTCTCTTGCTGCTTGGGCTCTGGGTGGTGCTGGCTCCCACCCAGTGTTCTCAAGGTCGTCCCTCCTGGCGCTACATCTCCTCCGAGGTGGTGATTCCCACGAAGGAGCTGCACCACAGCAAAGCCGTGCGGGCAGCAGGCTGGCTCTCCTACAGCCTGAGGTTTGGGGGCCAGAGACACGTCCTCCACATGCGGCGCAAGAGACTCTTTTGGCCTGGACAGCTGGTGATGATGACTCAGGATGACCAGGGGGCCTTGCAGGTGGACTACCCCTTTGTCCCTCTCGACTGTTACTACCTGGGCTACCTGGAGGACGTCCCTCTCTCCATGGTCACCGTGGACACGTGCTATGGGGGCCTGGAAGGCATCATGAAGGTGGACGACCTTGCCTATGAAATCAAACCCCTCAAGGATTCCCAGAGGTTTGAGCACATCGTTTCTCAGATCTTAGCCGACACCAACGCCACAGGACCCACGACCAGGCTGGGATACAAGGCACAGAGGCACCCCCTGCTCTCCAAAGTGAACACTAGTGCAGCCTCCAGGGTCAGCAGTAAGCTCTATTCATCCCACAGAGGAAACATGAAAGCCTGCCTCATGAGTTCCAATTCCATTTATACTCTGTACAGAAATATGTCAGAAAACATCAAATTCCTAGTATATCTAGGGAGTTTAATGGACTCCATGTTCCGAGGCCTTGACATAAGGTACTACATCAGCATCATGGTCATTTATAATCAGAGGGATCCAGCCAATATGAACAACTTTGCGGTGCCCCAAGGTCCGTTTGCTCAGAATTATAAGGCCAATATTTATATTCCATTTAAGCCTTATACAGGCTTAATGATGCTGAAAGATGCACCCCATGAACTTAATTTTAATCCCGTTGGGAGCAGTTTGTGCTCAGCCAGGAGTCTGGTCTATGTGGGTCACCTGTACAGACATATATTATTGTTGGCGGTTATAGCCACCCAGCAAGTTGCGAGGACAATGGGTCTGGATTTTGATGAAAAGTCTTGTGTTTGCCAGCGAAGGACCACCTGCATCATGAACAGGTACCCTGTGTTGACAGATGCCTTTAGCAACTGCTCCGTGGTACACCTACAAAACTCCTATAGTGCTAACCATGCAGAATGCCTCTACTTAACTGGATTTGTCCATGTAAACGAAAGCCTGACAGTCACTCGATGTGGAAACTCTGAGGTGGAAGACACAGAGCAGTGTGACTGTGGGTCCTTCAAGGAGTGCTATAGCAACACCTGCTGTAAAACCAACTGCTACTTCACGCCTGGAAGCATTTGTAACAGAGAAACGTGCTGCACAAACTGCACCTACGCGCCTGCGGGGACGCTCTGCAGACCAATCCAGAACATCTGTGACCTTCCGGAGTACTGCATGGGGAAGGACGCGAGGTGCCCCGGGAATTTTTATCTCCAAGATGGAACCCCATGCACTGAGGACGGCTACTGCTATGAGGGCAATTGTACCGACCGCAGTATGCACTGCAAGGAGATCTTCGGGGAAGGTGCCCTGAATGCTCCAAAAGAGTGCTACCAAATTAATAGGCAGGGAAACCGATTCGGACACTGTAAAATTTCTCATGTGTTCAATCCAAGCCGTTGTTATAGGGAGGACCATCTGTGTGCACGCCTACAGTGTGTGAACATCACTCATATGCCTCGGATGCAGGAACATGTGAGTTTCCATCAGTCTCTCATTGGAGACACCTGGTGTTTTGGACTGGATACACACCGTGGAACAGGAGCAACCGACGTTGGTTTTGTGAGAACTGGTACTCCCTGTGGTGATAACACCTTCTGTTATAAGGGCTTCTGCAATTCTTCCATAGAAGAAATAAACTACGACTGCCCCCCTTCCAAATGCAACTACAGGGGCGTATGCAACAACCAAGGGAACTGCCATTGCCATGTAGGCTGGGACCCTCCCCTGTGCATCAACTACGGTGCCGGAGGGAGTGTGGACAGTGGACCCCCTCCAAGAAGAAGTCGGTCAGTGAGGACAAATCCTATGTCAATGCTGTATTTGAGAGTCGCTTTTGGTCGCTTTCTTGCCCTCATAGCCGCAATCCTCTTCGGCGTAGCCAGTAATGTAAGATCTATCGAGGCCACTCCAGTCACTGAAGTGCAAGTTAAAAACTAAACAGCAAGTCAGCCTACCAACCACTGTACAGCTCAGGCAACATGAAGAAACACCTAAAAAAAAGTCACCATAACCCGCTCTCAGAGCTCAAGCCCACACTTTTGAGAGGCTGCAGGGGTCCTGTCCCATATCCAGGGTGAGTGCACCTTGGATGTTTTCACACCACTCTCTCTGACAGCTCGCTGGCAGCGTCTGCAATAAAGCTTGAGCACCACACATTGGAGTCCTGTGGAGTTCTTGTAGGTCTGTAACAGCCCTGAGTGAGTCTGAGACTCGGGCCTGGAGAGGGGACCTGGTCAGCAGCTGGCCTTGTGCTGTGGACGCCTGTCCCAGGATTAGTGACAGTGGCCACAGGTTCCTTTAGGACCAATTTCTGTCACTTCCCCACAATCGTGCCCTTCAGCACCAAGTGTCCCCCAGTCCCTAGGTAAGATCTCCTTCTCTAAACAGGTTGGGCTCTGGGCAATGGCATGCTCCCTGCGGCCTCCCTCCCCCGCCCCCCAACCCTGTCTGTTTCACATGGTGTGGCTGTGGGCTGTGAATGAGGGTTCCTTGTCTGCTAGTGACGCCTGAGCCTCCTGGAGAACACTCTTCCCTGTGTGTAGGCGGACTAGGCACCCTGGGTCCTGGGGAGGCACCGACACCCTCTTCCCCAAAGGCTGTGGGAATGGAAACCTCCCTCCTCTGTGTCTTCATCGTTTTCCCGGAAATGCCATTGTACAATGTCATGTGAAACTGATGAGAGTAAGATTTTACCTGAACATTTTAAAATTAGAAATTTCCTCCATGCAACACAGGAACATCATGTGGAATTTAAAAGCCCAAATTCCCACAAATTGGTGGACCTCGGTGTTTGTGGTGGTGTGGAGGAAAGGGGTCATATTCTAACCTGATTAGTTCAGGGAAGGCCTGCATGGTGGTTGTACAAACTCAAAGACCTAAAATAACCACAAAAGATGGTCTGAACATTAAATACTTAACTACAAACAAGTTATGGTAGGTAGTCATGTCCTAGGCCAGTATTTTCCCTGACAAAGATCAACTTAGGTCTGTACTGAGCACATTCGTCTTTTTGCCTCTAAGAGGTGAAATGACTGGGTAACTTGTAACTTCCCTTTTTTTCTGGACCTCTCAGGGCACAGCAAATGGCACCAGGACATTCCCTCATTGTTATTGTTATCAAGTTATTTGCCAACTGTTAACTATGTTAACTATCCTGTATCCATCTGTGTAAAAGAAGCACATGTTCATCATTTCACTTTTTACCCTATCCCAGAGGTCTCCCCGCTTTGCTTTATCCCACCTCCTTAATCTATCACCAATGAATTTCATATAACCCACCTACATCGCTTTCCTTTGATTGTAATGTATAAATACAGATGTAACCCACCATTCTCTGGAACATTATCTCAATCCGTTGAGATTCTGCTTACCAGCATATGTGGACAGTTTGGCTCAAATAAACTCACACAATTCTTCACAGGTTTCAATGGTTTTTCACCTTAACATTATACAGACATGTTCAGAGATGAATTTGGGACATAAGTGGTCCCTTATTGATTGAAAGTGTCTTCTGTGATAGGTAATGTGGTAGAGCAGGGCCCCGGGCCTGTGGAGCTCAGGGTCTAGGTCTGAGTCTGTGAGAACTAGGACAGCAGGCGACAGCGGGTTCTGCTGAGGTGGTTTCCACATGCACCCAAGTCAGTGAGCACCCAGAGGGTCACGTGTGGTCGGATGGACACACACCTGTGCGTGGAGGTCCCGTTGGATGATCGTAACCCCTGAAGGGCAGGTGGGCCTGTGAGGAGGCAGGAGAGAAGTGGAGGCATATGGGCTTGTGGGGGACAGAGTCTGAGCTCAGCACTCAGGGGCCTGAGCTGTGCTGGGGTTGCTCGTGGTGGGAAAGTTTCCAACCACAGGAAGAGGAAAGCTGTCAGGATGGTCTTTGTCATGAAAGAAAAAGGACACACTGGAATGCAGTGAAGAAAGGGTCACTAGACATGGTGCTATCTCATCTGCAAACGGGCAGTGTCCCTCCCTCATTTGTGTCTGCAGTAAGGCCACGAGAAACTAGAGCCACGAAGAAGGAAGTGTCCGTGGAGGCAGCTGAGCCTTGAGAGGAAACCCCTGGGCCCAGGAGGTAGACACTTTCTTCCCCACCAAGTCCACAGGGGCTCCTGGGTCTGGTCTCTGTGCTGGGTAGGTCTCTGTCCTGAGCCCTCTGCTGGTCCTAAGAGACCCCTTGTATCCTTAGTGCATCCTGGTGTCCTGAGCCTCCTGTCTCCCTCAGGGAGGTTTGTGTCTGGGCTGACACTGACTTTCCCTCACTGTGTGTCTCACAGTAATATACTGCTGTGTCCTCAGTGGTCACAGAGCTCAGCTGCAGGGAGAACTGGTTCTTGGATGTGTCTCAGGAGATGGAGGTTTGGCTCTTGAGGGAAGGGCTGTAGTGTCTCCATTATAACGTATGCACCCCATCCACTCCAGTCCCTTCCTGGAGGATTGACAGATCCAATGACAGCAGGACCCACTGATGATGGAGTAACCAGAGACAGAGCAGGTGAGGGAGAGGGTCTGCAAGGGTCTCACCAGTCCTGGGCCCGACTCCTGCAGCTGCACCTGGGACAGGACACCTGGGGACAAGGAGCATCAGTCCTGTCAGTCAAGTGCAGTCACAGCCATCCCATGACCCCTGTCTGACCCCTGAGACCCTCACCTTGGGGGGCTGTAACCAGGCACAGGAGAAGACCCAGCAGTCTCATCTTCTCCTAGACCACAGCGCTGCCTTCCCAGAGACCTCAGTCCTGTGTGAGGAGAGAGCTGTGAGCCTGCACAGCCCAGGAGAGGATGTACCCTGGAGCTTGAAGAGATATTTATATGTGGGGCAGCCTTTCCTATAAGTGTAGGGCCTGAGGTCAGGCTTCCCTGGTCATTCTGGGATCCCTGTGGAGGCATCTCTTCCCTTGACCTCACTCAGCATGTAAGTCAAGGACAGGGGACCACCTGGGTCATGAGACTCATTGGATTCAGTAAAAGCACAGCCTCACCTTTTTGAGCATAAGAAGAAACATGGACAAGATGAGCAGTTTACACCTTTACCTTCTCAGCCACATTTAAAATAGATGTAAAAGGCATTAGCATTCGTTCAGACCATTTCTGAATCTGAACATTCTAATGTATCTACAATTTCCAAATATTTATTTCATAATTTCATACAAATAATTTCTACCTTTGTATAAAAAAAGAAAATATAAAGGACAGCCAGTCTCACTACATTTTATCTTAATTTATGATGTTTCTTTGATCCCAGAAACTATCTCTCAAGAACAGGCAGATAGGACATTCTTGATTCTTGATGTTGGAAAATTTTTTATTGTGTCTACAGCTTGTGTGCAAACTCTTCCTTTATGCAAGCTCATGGCCTATTGCAGAGACACCAAATAGTTACATCAGAAAAAGTCATGGTTTTAAATATTTGAATGTCTTTATTGATTTCAGACAGAGGAAAAGAGACAGAGACAGATAGAAACAATAATGATGACAGAAAATCATTGATTGGCTGCCTCCTGCATGCCCCCTACCAGGGATCCATCCCAAAGACAGAGCTTGTTCCTTGACTGGGAATCGAACTGTGACCTCCTGTTTCATGGGTCAATGCTGAACCACTGAGTGATACTCGTCAGGCTAGTCATGGTTTTAAGTGAATAAAAGACAAGATGTGAAAATAGTGATCATGTATGTGTACAACTCGGAATCATTCATATGTTGAAATGACGATGGAATGAGATTGATCTGTTTTCTCAGTCTAGTTTTATCAGTGATGTCAGAGTTCAGAGGGAGGTGAGTGAGAATTCCTACCATGGAATTTCTCATAAGAAAGGAAACCTCAACCCTGACAGGAATCCCTCACTCCCAGCCTCCCTTTGTCCTTTCCTGGGGTGGTCACTGTGGTCAGAGGGTGCTGGGCCCCCCATAACATATAACATCCTTATTGTATAAATGTATACATTCTCCAATCACAAGTGATTTGGAAATATGTTCTTTACATATGTTTGTATTTTAATTTGCTTAATGAAAGTTTTGGTGGGAAAATATGTTTAATTATAACAAAGGCTGATTTAACAAAATTTTCCTTAATGGGGGTGATTTTACAAAGAATTCACAGAAAATGCTGAGCCTCCACTGATAGAGACAGCTTGTATCATCATAGGAAATACCTGAATAATGATGAGCAGGAGTTGTTAGAAATAGAAATGTTAAAGGTCATGCAGGCAGGGATCAAGAGAAATAAGGAATCTGTCACTGCAAACTGGTGGGAAGGGGACCCCTGTTTCCTACATGCACATTCTCACAGTGTCTCTGTTCTAGAAGGTGACACCTTCCCGGGTCCAGGGTATTCCCACTTGGACACCTTTGGGGTCATTACTGATCTGATCTCACCTTGGATTCCTGAAGCTGCATAATTCATTGGGTTCCCATTTATGAAATCTCTCAACACTTACAGGGAAGAGTGGACATTCCTCACTGGAGGAGCCTTCATTTCATTGGACCAGGACCCCTTCCTCAGTTCATCTTGGACACTATCGTTATCATCATCATCATCACCATCATCAACAACATGGTTTTACTTATAATCATTCTTCCACTCATTTTCTATAGATTTGGTTGTTGTCAGCAAATAATGACTCTTTATCTCATTTTTGATGATTCATTAAAATTGTTAAGAAAAATAGGTAGCAAGATTCTATATTATTTTATGTTGGACTGCCAATAACTGATCTCATTCCTGCATGTCTCCATCTTCCCCTCACAGGAATCTATAAGAAAGGCTGGGTCTCCTCTTCATTTGTCACTAAGAGGTTGAAACCACACAGGCCTCTGTAAGGAGAATTCCTCCCTTCCCTCCACATCTACAAAACAAAAGCCTGAAGCCAGGCTCCTTTCCTGGCTCTATCAAAGCTCATCCAACTTCCTGAAAGGGCTTTCCTGTGCTTGCCAGGGATTCCCACTATGCACCTAATAACCACTGCACGTCCCTGGTGTGTGCATTTGTCATCACCCCGGACATCTGTACCAAGCCTCTCTGGGTGCCTCTGCCTGTGCCTGGTGTCACCCACTCTCAATGCTATGAGCCTGATGCCAAGGCAATGACCATTACCACCCGGGGCCCTTCTTCTCTAGCTTTGGCCTAGGAGTGTAGGGTCACACTCCTTTGGTGCCCGCTGTCCAGCACACACGTGTCCTGTTGCTGGCAGGCTGGGACCTGAGCTGTGTGTGGCTGAGCTTCACTGTTGAGTTAGCAGAGCCTCTTGATAGATTTAGGGGACCTGGTTCAGAAGATTTTATGACTAATTGGCATTTAGGCACAAGAGTAAGCAAATGCATTTGATCTGCCTTTTGTGCGTGTGACAAACATTTCCTCTTACTACAATAAAACCCTGTAATTCAGATAGTGAAGAGGTAACCCCACACCTGGCAGGAAACCAGCCCTTAAGGACAATCTGAACCTGCACCTGGCCTGCAACCTGTGCTCAGTGTCTCCTGAGCACCCTGGTGTATTGAGCGCCCCCTGAAGCCCAGCCCTGCTGTCTTCCTCGGGGAGGTCTGCGCTTACACTGACTTCCCCTCACTGTGTGTCTCACACAGTTATAGAAGGCCGTGTCCTCAGATGTCAGCTTGTTCATTTTAAGAGAGACTGGGCTCGTAGGGTTGTCTCAGCAGGAGGGACTGAGACTGGACCGAGGAAGGAGCTTTTCAAGCAACACCTCTGAGAGGCTGCACGTCAGGAACGCGGGAGACACACGTGCGATTGCTGAGGTGCGTCCGTGCATTAGAGCATCAGCCATCACAGACTTCAACAGGAGCCACACACCAGCTTTGTTCTTGACATGCAACCATTTCCGAATAAATGCAAGTACACAGCCTCTTATGAAATACCCCTTTCTCCCTGTTTGAAGGAGCCCTGGGGGCCATACCCTCCGCCGTCATCCCCAGCCGAAGCTCCTACACTTTTCATTGGAATATTCAGCAAACGAGGAGCAAATTCAAGCAGAAGATGAATAAAAAAGAAGCAGCAGACAAAATGTATGAAGTCATTGAAGTCCATCTACAGCATGTGTGAAACATGGAATTTTATAGTCAGAACTTGCCATATCCCCCTGGGTCACAGGAAGAAACCTTGTCAAAAATAGCAGAACAACACAAACCCTATAAAACCAATAATGTTATGAAATAAAAATACTCAAAAATAAGTACAATTTTTGTTGTAAAAAATACCACTTCAAGAATCAGAACACTGTGTGTGAGTGAGGAATTTCTATGACCTGGAAGATAAAACAGATGAGAGGCAAGTGTGCGAGGATGGAGAGAGATGGCCGTGAGGGCGATGGGGACACTGAGGTTGTCTGCAGCATTTCCTGTGCAGCTGCTGAGAGAAGGAGTGACCAGTACCAGGGGCTGCATTGCAGCTCAGGGGTAAGCTCTGCACAGCAACCGCCTCCCTGGAAGAGGGTCAGGGCCCAGGAGCAGTCCCGCTGGTCCATCAGGGCCCAGCTCCTCCACACTGACCTTCTCCTGCTCTCAACCCTGTGGGCACAGCAGACATTGCTTCCTCCGGGGGCGGATCTGAGGGGTCCCCAGGGGAGGTGCCAGGCATCTTCCCTGCACTGGTGGAGGGTTTTGGTGCCCACGGGATGTGGTTTCTCTCGCTGTGTCCCTTGCACAGTAATACACGACCATGTCAGAGGCCTTCAAGCTGCTCCATTGCAGGTAGCCGGTGCTGGTGGAGTTGTCTCTGGAGATGGTGACATGGCCTTTAAAGGACGGGTTGTATCTGGCATCCCCATCACCAGGCCAGATCCATCCCATCCACTCCAGGCCCTTCCCTGGCATCTGGCACACCCAGTGCAACCAGTGGAGGGTGAAGCTGTAGCCAGACATCCTTCAGGAAATCTTCAGACTCCCAAGGTGTTTTCGTCTTGACCTCTGACTGCACCAGCTACCCTTAAGGGCAGACACCTGCATGCGAGAGCAGAACTCAGGGTGGGGTGCCTCCCAGCCTCCCTCCTCTGGGACCCCAACACCTGGTCTGTGACTCACCTGGGAGCACAGCCAGGAGGATGGCCAGGGTGGTGGCACAGCCCATGCTGGAGGCAGACAGTGAGGACAGTGCTGAGTGTTGGGGAGGGGATTCCTGGGTTAAAAGGGGGTTTGCCCATGTGAGTTTGCATAGTCCCCACCGTGCCCTCCAGGGGAGATGTCCCAAGGTTCATAACCCAGAAGGCCAGGCCTGAAGAGAGGTGCTTGTCTGAGACTTCGGGAGGGAGCAAGACAGGCACCCAGACTGTGGGCCTGGTAGAAGGACACATACCTGAGAATTGCCACCTGCCAAGGGGGACATGGTCAGAAGTCAACCAGACGCCAGTGTGTGGCAGGCACTTCATGGGCTGAACCGATTAACAGGCAGGGCTGATGTGTGTCCTGATGGGCTCAGGCCCTCAGTGGGCGGAGGCCCAGTGGGGTTGTCAGTAGGAGGGAGAGATGGTTCAAGTCTGAATGAAACAAGCACATGTTGGAATTGAGGTGCAAAGAGAGGGTGGGGTCAGTGGATGGATAGGTGCTGAAGTATGGTAGCAATCATCTCGGGTAGAAACTATAGTTTAACTTTAACCCTGCTGTTTGGTTTCTGTTCTTATTTGTTTGCTAAAATAATAGAAAAGTTATTTTGATTTTCTGAATTATATAAATTATCCCATCCAATACCCTATTGATTGTAATGTGAATATCCCATGGATTGTGGTCATACTGGTCTTAGAAAACACATTTTCCTTTACCTGGGAAGGACAGCACAATTATCCCAAGGTCAGAGGGCTCCAGTTAATGTGTCCCTCTTGACTCAGTGTTTTGGAGACCCCAAAACTGTGATTTAGATAACATGCTGCTTCTGCTTCTGTAAACTGCTTTTTTGTAAACCAGGTTCCTCATTCCAAACCCTGGGATGTAATCAATACCTTTGTGATCTTTGCCTATATAAGTCTGGTGTTTCGGCCATCATATCACTATGAGATTTGGGAAAGCAAGATGCCCCCTCATAGTCCCGGATTGCAATAAATGTGACTCTTTAATTCGACTTCTTGAGGTGTCCTTCTGTGATTCGCGGGGTACATTATAACAGTATTTTTTAAAAATATGAAATTATTATTAATCTGAATGTTTGACTTGCCAGCTCTGGAGGTTTGGGGTTTGGATTGAATTGGGAGAAATTGTGTAGTTGTGGTAGCTAAATGCCTAAAGTGTAGAAATTTATTTTTTAGAAAATAATTTTTGTTTTCTCTGAAATAATTAGGAATTCAAAATATGTTGCTTATTGGTCTGATTAAAAAGGAGGATTGGAGGGGTGGGACTTCCTCACTGTTGCTAAGACACTCTTGTTTTGCTCCCTGACAACCCCGGCGGGGGTGCGCTAGCTGTGGCCGGGCTGCAGCCCCCGCGGGAGCAGCACCCCTCGTTAAGACGTTTTCTGCTCCCATCACGCTGGCAGGGCCTGCGTCCTGAGTCTCCTGGGTGTGTCCTAATTGCCCATCTCGGCACCTCCTGAAAGCTGCCTCGCCTCCAGTGGTCACGGTGGAAGGATCATGGGAGAAGCAGAAGGGAAGAAAGATGAGGCTGATTATAAACGCCTACAGACCTTCCCTCTGGTCAGGCACTCAGACATGCCAGAGGAGATGCGAGTGGAGACCATGGAGCTGTGTGTCACGGCCTGTGAGAAATTCTCCAACAACAATGAGAGTGCCGCCAAGATGATCAAAGAGACGATGGACAAGAAGTTCGGCTCCTCCTGGCATGTGGTGATCGGCGAGGGCTTCGGGTTTGAGATCATACACGAGGTGAAGAACCTCCTGTACCTGTACTTTGGGGGGACGCTGGCTGTGTGCATGTGGAAGTGCTCCTGACACTGTCCCTGCCCTGCCCCCGCCCTGCAGGGCTTTCCCCTGCCCCTCCTCTTGGTGGGGACCAGCCCAGGCAGGGCTGAGTTTTCTGAAGGAGACCGTGGGGTCTTTCTTTTGTCCTGTGTACCTGTGTCCTGAGCCAGGCCCAGTGTGTGAATTTTTCGACATCTCTCTCTCCAGGCTCCCAGCCATCTCACTCTGAGTCCCAGGGTGTGAGAGGCAGCAGGCAGTGGTCTCCATGCAGGGAGGCCGGGGGCATGTGACAGGGTAGGAGCATGGGGAGGTGGAACTTCTCTCGCAGGGACATGCCAGCCCCACATCTCTCGGGGCTGCACCCCTTGCATCCAGGAACCCCCTGCCTTCCACCCAGGGCCGCTGGCAAGTGACCACTACCCTTGTCTTTATGGACTGTATGCAAATGGCCCCAGGAAGGAGCCTCCCTTCCAGAGGCACCGGCAGCTTCTCTCATCGTCCTCCGTCCTCCGGGGAAGTGGGGACTCCCCAGAAGCCCCTTCCCTGAGCTGGCCCCAGGCTGAGCACCACTGCATCTCATGGGCCCCAGCTTCAGCCTGCAGACCAAGCAGCCTCTCCCCCACCCACAACCGCCAGGCTTCGTCCACCTTTTCCACTGCCCCCAGCCTGCAGCTGAGGGTTGGGAACTGCTGCCCGGCAGTTTCTCGAGGTGTCACTGAGCCTCCAGCGAGCCGCCTGGGCCAGGAGTGCCCTCGCCGGTGGCCCATCTCAGCAGGGAACCTGGCCTGCCAGTTACTTCTCATCAGGGACCACATGTTGATTTGTACTTCTTCTCTCTGTGGGTTTTCTATATTCTTTTTGAGTGTGGGGAGAGTGCTTTAGTAGAAGGATGAATCAAAGAGACGATGGACAAGAAGTCCACAGTGGTCTTATTTATATAAATGTCTTGGTTTTTACAATTAAAATGGCCAAAAACTGGGGGAAAAAAGGAGGATTAATTTTGTGATCTCAACTGAAATTTTTTTAAAATATATTTTATTGATTTTTTACAGAGAGGAAAGGAGAGAGATAGAGAGTTAGAAACATCGATGAGAGAGAAACATCCATCAGCTGCCTCCTGCACATCTCCTACTGGGGATGTGCCCGCAACCCAGGTACATGCCCTTGCCCGGAATCGAACCTGGGACCCTTCAGTCCGCAGGCCGACGCTCTATCCACTGAGCCAAACCGGTTTTGGCTCAACTGAAATTTTTAATACAAAAACCAGTTTAAATTTAATTGATATTCTTTAAGATAATTATAAAAGGTATAAGCAGCTAATGAGATTTCTGCTTGTCTGAATATAATGTTGGCTGTCTATCTTTTAGGGATTTTGGTTTGCCCTTCCCTTGTTTATTGTGAGAATAAACAAATCATCTTTTCTGTCGGAGAACAGTGTAGACACCACCATGTTGGCCACATGGCTTGCTGCTTCCCTGGGGGCCATCATCTTGAAACAGCACAGGCCAACCCCTCCCTTTGAATTGGCCAATCAGGAAGAACCATGCACCTGAGTCCCAATCAAGAACAAGGGACAGGTCACGTGGGTTGTTAAGGCCTCTGCATCAGAAAGAACTTGCAAAGATTCAGAGCCAAGTTCAAACAGGAAACTCTAAGGGGAGTAACATGTGTCCCATGAAGGACACCAGGCAGCCAAGGGTCAGGATCCCCCGTGGGGGCATCTGCCAGTGATGCTCCACAGATGGTCATGTAAATCCTTACTGGTAAGATAGTCTGCCTGTTACTGGAACTTGCCTGCCTAAGGGCTATGGGTGGATCCCAAACTCAATAAAAGGATGACAAGGCCTGAGCACAAGTGGAGTCCATCCTCTTGGGATGGGCTCTTGCCTGACCCCCCAATTTCCAAATTATCTCTTGTCTAGTCTCTTTCATTTGTGTGCGACCCCTCTTCCAGATCCTGAACCACGCAGGACATGGGGGAAACAATACACAGCCACCCACAATGAAGGCTGCACCAAGCCTGTTCAGAGTGTGAGGAGAAGTCGACTGTTTGGATTGGCCAGAACTGAGGGTTCCTGAGCCAGGAGAGCAGTCCTTGGAGCTGCGTATAGACCAGAAGCAGAGGAAGGAAATGGAGAACAGAACTGCAGCCTGAAGACAGGCATGCACACAGCCTTCAGTGTCAGGGGATAATGAATGGGCGCCACCTGAGGGCGGTGGGATTGTGAAAGAAGACTTTCCCTGCAAGCTGCTGATGAGCCGCCACTCAGGAGACGTCCCAGGTCAGGACTGCGGGGGGGTCACAGCACCCTAGTGTCACCCTGAGCCTCGGGGCAGGGTGACCCTGTGCCTTTCTGTCCAGAGCGCAGGGCTGGGAAGACTGTGGTTAGGTTTAGGGCTAGTCTGTGAGGAGGACAGCAGCGTGAGGACACAAAACCTGAGGATTTCTTGCAAATGTACAGTTTTCTTATTAATTAAAAAATGGGACTGTATGTTGTTAATTTAATATTTGGAATTTTCTGTGGTTATAATTTGAGTGTGCAATCCAGTCAATTGGTACTTTTAGACAGTGAGGTGAATATAGCGAAAAGCCAGAGCCCAGCCGGTGTGTCTTAGTGGTTGAGTGTCGACCCATTGTTACAGAGTAGGGAATTTTTTTTAGGCCTGCTTAATTACCTAGCCGACTCAGCAGCTTGACAGCCTGTGCAATGTTTCTAGGAACTGAGCTCACACACCTGAGCAACGGCCTACAAAGAACAAACAAGATCAACACTCCCAAGCTACAGGCCTACAAAGTGTTGTGGACCAACATTCGCGAGAGTAAGACCACTAACTCCAATTAGGTCTTAAGTAGCAAGTGAGGATTTATTGAAAGCTGGCCAGCGACTGCCGTAGGCGTTTTCTCCTATGACAGTGTCAAACCTGGTTCTAGGCCAGCCTTTTATACACAGAAAGTACAAAACGGTTGGCTAAACACACACAAAGTTACCTGGGATACAGACACAAAGTTACGAGGGCTACATTAATCAATACTGCCCCATTACCAAGGTATTATTAATCAACTTTGCCCCATTGCTCGAGCTACTAATATAAACTTGCCCCATACCCTAGACTACCCTCCACTACAGTTGGTTCCATTTTCCTAGTAACTGCCAACATACCTGAGATGGACATTCAGAGGTTAAGAGATTTTACAAGGGGGGCTTAACTGTAACAAAAGAACAAACAGATCAAAATTAAGAATAGTCCTGACCTTTAAATTACCCAGAAATGAATAACAGGAGGATGATGAGTAGCTTGGCTAAAACTACGCAATTAGCTTTTGTAACTTGTCTTTGCTTGCTATGGGAACCTGAACACGGATGTAGTTGTCCCCTTTAAATATTGGACTCTGCAGATGATCATGGCCGCTTCTCTCTTGGGCTTCCCGAGTGGAGGAGAGGACACTGGCCAGTCAATAAAGGCTCTAAATTTTAATCAGTCTGGAGTTCTGGTCATTCTGTCACTCGTGCTCCACAACACCATGAACTAGGTCCTAGTTGGTGAACCTTTTGAGCTCGGCGTGTCAGCATTTTGAAAAACCCTAACTTAACTCTGGTGCCATCACATATAGAAATTTTTTGATATTTGCAACCATAGTAAAACAAAGATGTATATTTTTGATATTTTATATATTTAAATGCCATTTAACCAAGAAAAATCAACCCAAAAAATGAGTTCTAGTGTCATCTCTGACACGCGTGTCATAGGTTCCCCATCACTGAACTAGGAGGTCACGGTTCGATTCCTGGTCAGGGCATATGCCTGGGCTGGAGGCTCAATCCCCAGTGGAGGGTGTGCAGGAGGCAGTCGATTGATGATTCTGTCTCATCACGCCTCCCCCAGACTCCACCAGCTGAACTTGGCACAGGCCACCTGCAAACAGAGAAACAGACTGAGAACTGCCCCATGTGACCCAGTCCCCAGGAGTCTGATGCACAGGAACGCACCTTTGACAGACAAGAGAAGGGCAGCCCAGATGAGCTCAGATTCCATGGTGTGGACACTGAGGAGGGGCTCACGTGGGAGGGCTCCTCTCCAGGGTCTGCAGGGACCCCGTCTGGAAGGCTTTCATGAACAGGGGAGGGGCCGTATTTGCATGTCTTTCCCTGAGGACCTGTTCGACCTGCCAGGGGGCTCCTCCCTCCCTGCAGTCACGTGGGGAGAGGGGGTGGACCAGGGTGCCTAGGTCAGAACTCAGTGACACATGGCTGGTCTGAACATTCTAGTAGCTTGTCTATGGATAGTAATAGACACACTCCGCCAGGATAGAAAGTGGGACCTTTAAGGTTCTCCAGGGCAGGTTGCACATAAAGCCTCTCAAGAGACACCCTGGGACAGGATTGTGGAGATGACAGTGCCCCTTGGTGGTTATTCTGAACCTCACATTCTGAGAACAGGTGTCTGAACCAGCTTCCTGAGACAAGGCAGGTATGTCTGCTATGGGGAAGCCTTCCCCGGCATTTTTGAAAGAGTGGCAGCCCCAGTCCTGTTACTTGTACAGAGGTGGTTCTCTGCAAGAACGCCCTGGGCCTCAGGGGGCCGCCTTGGGGGAGAACCTGAGGAACAGAAGCCTCCGAAGCCTAGGCCTCTAGTGCCAGGCCCTCATCTTGCATGTGAGAGGTGATGTCACCTGGCCTGGTGTGCACACTCAGCATCCTGGACAGTCCATCATGCGAAACAGCAGTGCCTGTTTAGCTCAGGGATCATGTTTTCTGATATTTGTGGGGGACCTTCCATGACTGTTGGCAGTGGAGCTGCAGGGAGCGGTGAGCACAGGGGACAGACTCACCTTGGACAGAGAACAGTTCCCTGCTGAGGAACCGGGCCCTTTCAGTACAGCCCCTGGGACCCTGTGCCTGTGAATTCTAGGATTGTGCCCAAGATCATATGAGTAAGTCTCAGTGGAGAGGACAGCAAATCCCGCCCTGCTCACTCTGAGACATGAGGAAGTGGGCCTACCTCTGCAGGGGGTGATTTTCATCCATTGCTTTCAGGGTCTGAAAGGTCATTTCCTTCATTTTTTCATGGGCAAAGCCTTGAGTACAAAGTCTTACCACTGGGTGGTCAGTCATCTAGAAGGCGTGTGCACAGGGTGGCTTCAGGTCCCATTGCCAATGTGGCCCAATGCTCAGGTGACCCTGGGAGTGGGGCATCACCAGGCACCTCTCCCAGTTGCTCTCTCCTCTTTCTCCTCATAGGGGAAATGTTAAGTCATTCATTTAAGGCAGAAACAGGTAAAAGGGATGAAATTTACTTTTTTTTCCCTCCACCAACAAAATTTTAATTATGTATATTTTGAAATTTGGTATACCTGTAATATTAAAAAACTTTTTTTTCTTATTTTC